TATTGGATGTTGGGCAGGGGGATGGGGAGGGGGGAGGAGGGGACAGGCATATGCACAATGAGTTCCATGAGCACCTCCCGGGGGATGGACACACTTGAAGCTTGGATTTGGGGGGGAGGCGGGGCAAGGGCATCATACATAATGTAAACATCTGTACCCCCATAATATGCTGAAATAAAAAAAAAAGGCCATATTTGCACATGAGGATTGTAGCCATATTTGCCTATGAGGATTGTTGGAAAATAGGGGTAACAAATGGGGAGGAAAGATGTCTTCATTGTGTTATTAGTTCTCTAACGTCTCTGTTTTCCCCACTATAATATAAGATCCACAAGGACAGGGACCTGTATGTCTTGTTCACCATTGTGTCCTCAATGCCTAGCACAGTGCCTGGTGTGTATTCATCTCGGCTGGAGTACAGTGATGCTATCATAGTTCACTGTAACCTCAAATTCCTGGGCTTGAGCAATCCTCCTGCCTCAACCTCCTAAGTAGCTGGGGCTACAGGAATGTGCAACTTTGTGCAATTAATTTAAAAAATTTTAAAATTTATATTGCCCAGGTTGGTCTCAAACTCCTGGCCTCAAGCGATCTTCCTGCCTTGGCCTCCCGAAGTCTGTTAGACGTGAGCCACTGCATCTGCGGCCTATTCAATAAATAGTTGAGTTAGTTTTGAGGGAAAGAGTCTGGTTGTCTTCAAATATTTGTTATGTAGATAGCTTCTTAATTAGTTTTATTACTTAAATTTCTGGAGGACAGATGGAAGTAGAAGGGAAAGAATTTTTTGGTGGGCAGATTTCAGTTTTACATAAGAACTTTGTAAAGCTTACATATGTTTGGTAGCCAACTTAATGAGCTTCTTCATGTATTTGAATTTGGCTATTTTAAGTGCTTGCGTAGAGGCTGCATGGGGATTTACTGTTATACCTGCTTTTGATAGATTATGGGCCAAGATGATTTCGGCTATGACTCTTTTGGCTATGTGTTTCTACCTTTTTATTTAATTACTTAACAAGAAATAATATCAACTAATAAAATACCTTTTCTAAGTTACACCTTTCTTGTCATTTCAGACTAAAGCAAGGCAAAGATCTGGACCAAGAGAGGGCAGCTGCCAATGAGCAGTTAACCAGGGCTATCCTTCGAGAGAGGATATCAAGCGAGGAAGAACGTGCTAAGGCAAAGCACCTGGTGAGTATTAAAGATTTAGTAGGAAATTCTTGCCTACAGGGAAATCCCTGATGTTTGGGAAAAGCTAAGTACTCTGTGCCAACTTTTAGTGTTAATAATATTCATGTTCTTTTTGCCTAGATTTTCTTCATTTTTTGCCTCTTACAGGTAGCTGACAATTTAAGATTAACCATCAAGGGCTGGGCGTGATGGCTCACGCCTGTAATCCCAGCACTTTGGGAGACGAAGGCCAAGAGTTGAAGATCAGCCTGGGCAATATAGTAATACCCCTTCTCTTAAAAAAAAAAAAAAAAAAATTAGCCAGGCATGGGAGGCTGAGGTGGGAGATCAGTTGAGCCCAGGAATTCAAGGTTACAGTGAGCTGTGATTGTGCCGCTGCACTCCAGCCTGGGTGACAGAATGAGACTGTGTTTTACACACACACACACATTAACCATGAAGGGCTTTAAGGCAGGTAACTTCATAAGTATTGAAGTAAATACCAACACACAGACACAGGCACATGTATCATGCCTGAGGAATTGTTGTCTGTTTACTTTTTTCTCCCCTGTTTTTGGTTTTATTGTCTTTGAAATCTCTGGAGCCAGCAGCCTAGCCTTCTTTCTTTCCCTCCTGGTGACTACCAGATGTTAGTCTGGAAGACTCCAGCAAAGGTGAGTAAGGTTTGCTCAATTACTCCCTGGGCTGTAGGAAAGAGAAAATACAGAGCAAGGGCCTTGGGGAACTATCTTTTTGAAGAGAACAAATAATTTTTTTTAAAGAAAATAGTTTTAAAAAAATTACATAGACATGTTTTTTAAAAAAATGATTATTAATTAGAAAAAAATTTAAAAGGCATTTATAAATCTGTCTTTTTTTTTTTTGAGACACAGTCTCACTTTGTTGCCTGGGCTAGAGTGCTGTGGCGTCAGCCTAGCTCACAACAACCTCAAACTCCTGGGCTCAAGCGATCCTACTGCCTCAGCCTCCCAAGTAGCTGGGACTACAGGCATGCGCCACCATGCTTGGCTAATTTTTTTCTATATATTTTTAGCTGTCCGGCTAATTTTTTTCTATTTTTAGTAGAGACAGGGTCTCACTCTGGCCCAGGCTGGTCTCGAACCCCTGAGCTCAAACAATCCTCCTGCCTCAGCCTCCCAGAGTGCTAGGATTACAGGCATGAGCCACCACGCCCAGCATAAATCTGTCTTTCTGATACATCCACGGTTTATACCGGTATGTGTTTCCCTCTAGACTATTTCTTTTATAGGTTTATTACATATTGAAGAATTTGGATAATGCCATATATAATGTCTAGGATCATGAACATTTTCCTATGTTGCCAAACATTTTCCTGAATTATAGTTTTTAATGGCTGAGTAATTATCTGTCTTCTGTATTCAATATAATTTATTGAATAATTTTCTATTGTTAGATAAAAGTGAAGCTGCTCTGGTTGAACCCTGGAGTCCTGGCTGCTCAGTGCCCACGTGGGCCTTCCTAGAAACCCAGATAAAACTTCTCAGAACCTTTAATCCTCCTTGTAAAACATTCGGAAACTCATTGGGCAGGGAGAGCGGGAACATGTAGTGGAGAACTTTGAATTCAAGAGCTAGGGGGATGTTCCTAGTTCATTAGGCAACTGGAAATCATTAACACTTTGTAAGAAAAGGGTTAGTTTCTGTTCTCATCTGTTCTTTACTTTGATCATTTTGTCAAGAGTCTAACCTATTACCAGATGCAAACAGAGAAAGTGAAAGGAAGTTCATGTACAATGAATCCATTTCTTTAGTGACTAATCCAGGGTCCAGGCTGCAGGGGTAGATAAGCCAGAACCGTGGTGACAGATGAAGGAAGAAATGTCAGTGGGCTGACTGGCAGCCGCCCTGAGAGCAGCACACACATTCTGTGGAACTAAGAGAATAAGAGAGGTGGAAGGAAAGTCAGTCATTGTGAAAGGAGAATAATTTCAGAATTAAAGGCAGTAAGCATTGAGTGACTCAGTTGATGATTGTATCTGTTGTACATCTAAGCTGAAGGGGTTTCTTTTGAGGGAGTTAAAAAACTGTCAGGCCAGTGGGCTGACGGGTCATCTTCATGCATATTAAAGTCCCCAATTTGAAGGCTGAGGGTGGAGTGGAGAGGGTTAATAGTGCTCATGTTTGAGGAAGCTGAGAGCAAAATTCTTAGTTTCCAGAGGGCAGAAGAATCCTTGGTTGGCATTTGGACCCAGCTTTTGCCCTTTTGCATCTTATCTTTGAAGCACTCTTCTCTTTCCACCTTTCTTCCCCTGAACTTGTTTTGTTCTCTTAGTCCATGGAGACAAACAAGATTAAAAAACTGAAAAAGCTCATTAAGTGCACATGCACACACACACACACACACACACACACAAAGACATAGAAAGAGGAGAGTTTTCACAAAAAATGTAAAAGTATAAAAAGATATGTTACCCAACAGTAACTAAATTATATTACGCAGTGTGTGTGGTTGGAATAGCATATCTTCAGTCTATTTGCTCTTTTTATCTAATAAATCTTGTCCATTGTCTGCTTTTATTTTCTTTTGTTTAGCTGGTTAAGCATAAGAAACTGGTGTTGTACATTCTGTTTTGTAGATTTCTTCCTTAACGATTCTGGGGTTGTGGGTATAGATGGCAAATTACAGTACTCAGAGCTCCTGAATTTCAGCATCTATCATAATATTGGCCAAATAGAGTCTTCAAAGCACTTAGGGAACAAAAGTAGAATTTATACAGGAGGATGATAGCTGATTCAGGAGGGTCCCTTCTTGCCTTGAGTGTTCTCAGACATCTGAGTGGTTGTGTTGTGGCCACAGCAACGTGGCTACCGATGGCAATTTAATTCCCGATTTATTTGCCAGATTTATCCCTTTATTGTTATTATAGAAGACATACATAGACATTGGATAAAGACCAGAAAGTAAATATGAAGAATATTAAAATCACTCAAAGTACCACTATCCAGAGATAACTGCTGTTAACATTCTGGTTCATAGTTTTTATATTCCTTTTTATTTTCTACTAAATTTTATTTTTAATGTGTGCAAATGTATTTCCTCAAACAGATCATAGTATACACATATTTATATAACTCATACAATAGCCTTCACATCAAAACGTTTAGACTATATGGTAAAGGTTTCTATACCAATAAATTTGTTTTTGTATGGTCACTTTTTAGTGGCTGGATGTTCATTGAGTTTTCCCCTAATTATTAAAATAATACAAGAATATCATAGAAAATTTAGAAAATAAAAAAAAATTACTAAGAAAATGAGCAGTATTGTAATTCTGTCACTTACCATCAGTGTTTAGAGGTATGAAGTTCTTTCTGCCTTTTTTCCACCACGTATGTATTTCCCAGACGCTTTGGGTTTTCAGATTATGCATACCACCATTCTCTAAAACAGAGTTGTGTGGTGTGGAATGTGACTACAGGCCTGTTGTTGTTCCTTAGTTTGTTGATCCCCAAGGGGAGAGGTGGGCATCTTCAGAGCCTGTAATTCATGTGTGAGTCACCCCAAGAATGTTAACATTTCTTTGCTGTGAGTGCTAAGCACCTATTGCTGCCATTCTTAATTCTAGTACATGCGACTCTAAGTGATAGCCAAACACTGGTTTTAGTCCTCTTTATTTAGAACCCAATTTTGCAGCCTGCAGGAAAGTAAAGGTTGGTTTTCACACATTCGAAGTAATTAAAAAGCTGTCTTTCAGGAGAACTAGGGGCACTGAGGATGTGGGGAGAGGAGCCGATATGACGTTGGTACTGTGAAATAAGTCCAGGTTTTTCTTCCCACAGTTGTTTTAGCAGCTAGCTTTATTAAAGCTCTTTGAAGAGCAAAGTCACGAAGGCCCTGTTGAAGTTTTAAAATAGGATCAGATCAAAACTTCCCCCTTTGGAAGAATTGCTTTAGCTGGGGAAGCTGTTAATCCTGCTCTAGATTCTAGGAGAGCACACCAGCCTCTCCCCTTACCCTGCATTGACTGGTGCCAGTATTTTAATCAATTGATTTTATCCAGAGGCTTTGGAAGAGGCAGTTCACTGATAATTTTACCTACATGAAAATGTTAAATGAAATTCACATTAAAAGTATGTTTCTAGGGCTGGTCCGAAGGCGGTAAGTTACCTCAATTGAAAAAAGAAAGTATGCTGCTTAGGAGCAGGAAGGCACCTCGGTAAAGATAAATAAAAAGGACAGGACCAGGAAACCTGTAAAGTTAATGCAACTTGCTATTTTGTGTATTTTTAAGCTCCTGTACATGGAATCTAATATTTGCTATGTCATTACATTTTTTTTAAATTGAAGAGTAGTAGGTTGTTTTTTTTTTTTACTTTGCAATTATGTATTCTTTTTAAAATGCCAATTAAAATTTTGATTCACTTTTTTTCTGTCATTAAGTTATGCTGGTTTAATGTTAGCTATTTCTTGCTATCACCATAGAACTGTGTAGTGTTTTCATTTTTTAGAAAATCTAAACTTTAAAGGAAGTCTTGATTTACTTACTTAAGGTACTATTTACTTAAATATTCTGGAAGTTATAAAGCTAAATGTGAGATAGTTTTCTTCACTCTTTGGACAGATGTTTTATTGAGTGCTTACTGTAAGAAAAGTACTGTGCTAAGTACTAAATGAAGAAGACAAAATCCTGTCCTTAAGGAATTCATAGTATAACATGGAAGGCAGATACATTAAAAATGTTTAAAGGTGCTAAGTCTTTTAGAGAGCTGTACTTCTTAGAGTCTTGCAGGAAATCTCACTTTTGTGAAAGCAGGAACTTTGCATTCTTTTTAACTCATTGCTATATCTGCATTGAATTGTTAGACCCATATTTGAGTACCTAATATATGAGAGTGCTGAGCAAACAGTAAGCAGTCAATAAATATTTGTTGGTTGAATAAATGCATAATTGAATTTACTCAAGTCCTGGAAATAGGAGGAGAGGAGTGGGAAAGAATAGAAAAGATTTTGTGGGGAAGCGTACCTGAGCTGACTCTTGA